TAAGTTAAGAATTACGCATTCTAAAATTTAATGCAAAACGCTCTTGAACCAAGATTGATATAACTTAAGGGGAGCAAACATGTTCTTATTTCAAGAATAAAATGGGATTTAAAACGAGAAATTATGTTCTTCTTTCTAGAGTAATGTGAATTGAAACTAGAATATTTAATGTTGTTTTCGGCTTGCAAACGTTGCCCTGTAGGAAAATAAAAACACAATTTATATTTTTTCCACTTCATTATTTACAGCATAGTTTAGACTTTACATTAATCATGGGTACATATAAACAGTTAATTATACATATGTTATGTATATACAGTTAGTCACAAAAGTATTATTATTTGATTTCTCTTACAAAAGGTTTGGTTTGGTTTTCATAGTAACATTTTTTCGTTTATTTTTTTTTACAAATGCATAGCCAATTCTACAATAAAAACCAACACATAAATCAAAATTTCAAGCTTTGGACAAAATACAAAAAAAATTCGAGCATTCATTGCATATGTCCACTGGCGATCAAAAGTGAGTGCATTGTTTTTTTTCTTAAATATTTGCAACTTTTTTCAAGTAATAATTTTTTTGTTATTTTTCTTTAAAAATATGGGTCATGCTTTAATCAAGACCACATAACTCAACTTTCAAACGTTATAAATAACTTAGGAAAATTCAAACCGTATGCAAACAAAATTAAAAAAAATAACGCTATATTTTGTACATTGCACTTGTTATATTATGCAAAAAAACGAAAAAGCCATCGGAAAAAAATCATTAAAAATCCACGCGATTTTTTAGCCGCTTAAAACTTTCACTTGTTTCACTAAAATTACATATCCGATCTATCTGCGTACCAAACATTTTTCTCAAAATTCAGATTAAAAAGTTTAAAATTTGGACGAAAATGTTGAATTTTTCTACGTTCTGTATAAAGTTTGAAAGTTTGACTTAGTGTTTTCGATTAAAGCATGAACCATACCGCAAAATCCATCGGAAAAAAACCATTAAAAATCAACGCGATTTTTAGCCGCTTAAAACTTTCACTTGTTTCACTAAAATTACATATCCGATCTATCTGCGTACCAAACATTTTTCTAAAAATTCACATTAAAAAGTTCAAAATTTGGACGAAAAGTTGTTGAATTTTTCTACGTTCTGTATAAAGTTTTAAAGTTTGACTTATGTGGTTTCGATTAAAGCATATAAAAATAACAAAAACAAAAAAGTTTAACTTAAAAAACATTGCAAATATTAAACTAAAAACACCATGCACTCACTTTTGATTGCCAGTGTACATAAATTAATATTGTTATTCAGACATTCGATGGCCTACGAAATCACGTTCTCGAAAAATTTCTAGGACTTTTTATTATTATAACCTTACAGATATTTCATTCTTAAATATGATTTTCCATTATTTGTAGGATATATATGTAAAGGTGGACTTGTAAATTCTTCAATAGGTCTTAAATACATTTTATCAACTAAACAACCTATCTCATATGATCTTAAATGACTCAAATGTTTTTACCTCTACTTGTTGACAAAGTACAAAAGCATTTTCATTACGGTACTGTACTCCAAACCAAACTCCACGTCAAACAGTGCAGACGTGTAAATTAATGTATGTATGCATTTTGTGTTTAATTATTGTTTTGAAATTTGTATTTATGTATGTATATGTTTATGTTTTACATGATTGTCAATAGTTGCCCTGAGGACGGTTACTGAAGCGTAACCGAAATATATCGAAAAAAAACTAAAATCCTGTGTTTTAATTCAAAAAAATTTTCTAAAACCATTTGACCTCGAGCCGGCAGAATTAACAATTAAGAAATAAAGTGGTCGCCAAAACCATCATCGTTATCCGTTTTATTTATTTTCCAAATGTATGCGAAAACAAGAAAAATTAGTAAAAGTTTGATTACAGTTGTTTTGAATGCATTATATTTTTAACAGTTTTCGTGTTAATAAATGATCTTTTTTAAAATGAACTATCAAAATTGCAGGTGCTGCAAAGATTTTTAAACAACGAAAACAAGTATACATCTTTCCGTTATTTTCTAATCAGTGTTCAAAAAGCTTACAAGTGATGTAATATTTGACGACTTGAAGTTTCAATTTGAAAAAAAAATATTTGAATAAAAAGCCAGGAGTCCTGACAAGCTTCTGGATATTTAAGATTCATTATTTGAAATAGTTTAAAACAAATATCTATGCTTTGAATGAACGAATTAAACTTAAGCAAATTATTATCAAAGTACACAAAGAAACCGCTTATATTTGTATCTGACAGCCCTTCGACAATCGAAAAAGGTTGTACGGTTAACCCTGCAGAGTAGTATTGGTTAATTATGGCATAGACCTGCCGTTGGTAATCATTCAAAGTTGGGAACCGCAAAACCAAACTTTCCTGAGAATCAACTATAGTTACTTTCTTAGTTTTTTACCGCTTTCGCTTTTGAATCTGGCGCCGGAAGGTAATACAGCATTTAGAAGAATTGTAATTAAATAGTCCTGGACATCTGTAAAATAAGGAAAAAAAATATTTTCATGATGAATTAAAATTTTATTTAATATACCTTTATTATTTAACGATTTAACTGTAGAAAGTATTTGCTTACAATATTCGTTGCTTATGTTTTTCTCATAGTAATTAATAATTTTTGCTTTAAAAGTTTCCCACTTAGCAAGGAATAAATGTGTTTTCTCAGGATACATGAACTGAAAATCAATTTCAATCTGTAAATTTGAAACGGAAAGTACACGGTTAATTCCAGGTATTCCATTCTTAGTTACCATAAATTGTAATAAAATGTTACCATAAAAATGGATAAGTAAAATCACTACGAAAAACAATTAAACGTTTTTTTATACCAAATCAGAAGCCTGTGCATGTGACAATTTTGACCAAGCTTGAAAAAAATCCAAAGGACTCAAATTACAATCAAATTTAAATGAAAAGTTTTCTTCCATTTGTCGAAAACTTCGGCCCAATCCGCACAGTCTCTGTTTAAGGATGTTTTATATGCTTCGGAAACCGACTCATCAACTTCTGGAGTTTGGACAATCGATCTGTTAGCATAGTTTTTATCTTTGCTCTCAGACGGCTCAGACAATCCTTCAACCTTTCGGTGCTTCGATTTTTGGTTTTCATACTTTGAATACAACTTTCCAGACGGATTGTTTTTTCCTTGCCTCGAAATGAAGTAATAGTTCTATAAAATATATGAAAATAGTCCTATTTTAAATGCAGAAAACTATGTGCATATGTATGTACCGTGGCGCTCAGCTAAATAGCACACTCTTATTTCTTACAATATTCAATTTGTTTTACGTGATACATTTTTTTCGTTGGTTTTTTATAAAAACACAGTACATTCTATAACATAAACCGTAAAAGTCAAAGTTTAAAACTTTGTGTACAGTTCAGGAAAATTTAACAAATTTCAAAATGATGTTACAAAAATTTTCAGCATCAACAAAATCTATTTTTACGCAACACCCTCGACAAAGAAGTCTTAAAAATAAACGGAATTTTTCAGAGTTTTCACACCTGCACAATTGAATGGGCTACAAAACTGCATACAAAAAAAGTTTCTAAAAAATCTGAAAAAATTTTAAAATTATGATGCAATTTTTCAAAATTTTTAAGTTTTTGAATTTTCAAAAAATTCTGAAAAAATCTTAAAATTATGATGCAATTTTTTTGAAATTTATTAAATTTTCCTGAACTGCACACAAAGTTTTAAACTTTGACTTACACGGTTTATGTTCAGTGTTGCCACAAAACCTTTTTATTTTTTACCAAAATCACCGGAAAAATTACCAAATTCAACAAAAAATTACCAAACTTTTTTTTGTGCAGTACTGTACAAACATATATGTATATCGAGCCCTAACCGCCAAATTACCTTAAGCGACATTTTTTTCAAATTTTTCTTTTTGGTGCAGAAAGGCATCTAGATGGAATATTTATTATCAGGGAACGGATTTTATAGAAATCGCCTTTTTTTCTGCTAAAGAGATAGAGTATATTCGATTCCACGATTTAGCTTTCCCTGATTCCATATATACACATGTTGCCTTTTTTAATATATTTGCCTTTTTTGCCTTTTTTACCTTTTAAAAAGTGATTGTAGCATTTACAATTGTTTTTAAAGATTAAAAAATATACACATACATTCCTGATAATATGAACGTTTCAAACGTACCATATTTAAATTGGGCTCCATTTGTATCAACTTACGTCGAGCGCACATTTAGTACATTCAAGTCTTTTCTTCGCGAAAATCTAATGAAAATGCTGCCAGAGAACTTCAAAATGCATCTTGTGGTTCAATGTTACTACAACTATACAGATTAAAGTTTTATGATTTAGAAACTCGAAAGGATAAAATAGTTAAAGATTCAAAGTACAAATTTTTCATATAATGAAACTAGTTCATAGTTTTTCTCTTTTTACTTGTAATATAAACATTTCTAAAATAAATGTATTTTTTAATTGTTCTTTGTATTTTCTGTCTTTTTTTAGTGCCTTATTTTGCTTTTTTTGCAATACCTAGTGCCTTTTCCTGCCTTTTTCGCTATTTTGTTTTGCCTTTTTTGCAATACCTAGTGCCTTTTCCTGCCTTTTTCGCTATTTTTTTTTACCTTTTCCAGCCTATTTCGTTATTTTGTTTTGCTTTTTTTATAGGTTTTTAGGTCCTAAAACTCCGTTCCCTGTTTATTATTATACGTTATTTCGGCAGTTAGGGCTCGATATGTCTGTACATATATATATCCGAAGATACCAAGCTTTTCGGGCAATCAGCGCTCCATTAACCTAAAATTTTTACGAAAGTTTGTTGAATTTTTTTAAATATTGAACAAAGTTTGAAATATGAATTTGTTTGAGCTCTGTTAAAGAAATAACAATATCTTTATAAAAAATAACCAAAATTAGATTACAAAAAAAAAAAAAACAATTTGTTAAAACTGGTCAAAATATGGTGCGGCTACAATTTTTTCGACCACTGTATGTAAACAAGTGACAAGAAAATATATCAAAAATTCAACGCTTGAAGGAAAGCGGTCGACTCACACATAGACAGAGTGACGTCCCCCGCTGAATGTCGTAGCTTTTTGAACGGGAACATACTTATTTACGTAAAACTCTATTCATATGTATGGTTGCCGGGTTCACCGGAAAATTGATAGTAATTGAAAAGCTGACGAACTGACAGGGAAAGGTAGGACCACCCAAAACATTCCAGGAAAGGACACGGTGGATATACTTATCAATAGCCACTTTCACTGCTTGAAAGTTAAAGAACACACCATTCTCGTAGCCAAGGAACGCTGGAACATCTTTCACCTTGCAAAACTTTCAGGATTACCTGGTATTTCTATAAAAGGAAACGCTTAAGGTCCACTTACTAATGTGGAATCAGAACCAATATTGACCTATTTCACATGTAAGACCGAATCGAAAAAGTTACCAAATTGAAAAATAAATTACCAAATTACCAAAATTTATAAATAAATAAAAAAATTACCAATTTTGGTTAAAAATTACCAAAGTGGCAACCCTGTTTATGTTATGGAATCTACCATTTTTATTACAAAGTAACGACACAATTTTATCGCGTAAAACATTGTGAATGCTGTAAAAAATAAAAGTGTGCTATTTGGATGAGCGCCACTGTATATTAGCTAAATTTACCTGCATATTAACTTCACTGGGGAGTATGGAGCATACTTCGTCCACTATGCAAGGAAAGTCCTGCACTTTTAGATTAATATTCTTTGAAATAACCTCTTCCACTACAATATTAATGATATCCTCCCTTTATGCATTTGTAAGTGTTTTATTTTTGTATCAGACATAAGAAGAGCTCGGCCTCGCCCAGAATCCTTAAGCTAAGTTGTCAAATCCTGTAGTAAGAAACAAATAATATAGTGACAAATAGTTATTCACACAGAGAATTTTTTGCAATATAGACATGCAAAGTTTTTTTGCTAATTTCTTTTCGATATTTTTTTAAGAAAGTTCCTACTACACTAAAAAATATAAAAATAAAATCCCTAAACATTGTAAAAAAGTCAGGATAATTCAATAAATTTGCATACTAATTTGTACCTTTCTATTCAGATTTCCTAGAAAAATTCTAAATATGGACCCTTATAGCCCGCTCAAATTTTAGTGTTACAAAAAAAGTTTAAAGTTGCTAGAAAGTCACATTTATTTTTGGCAATTTTTGTTCCGGACGGTGCCATAATTATCTTCCATACAAAAAAAGTTGTCTGTACTTTCTATGGAAGAAACTGCATAAAAAAAATTTTCAAAACTACGCGATTTTGCAGCAACTTAAAACTTCCACTTTGTTATACCAAAATTGAATAGGCTATAAAACTGCATACTTAGAATTTAAAGAAAGAATTATCGAAAAAAAATTATAATACAAATCTTTTTATATATATTGTGAAAAATTGTCAGTGGCAATATTTTTGTTCGCCACTGTACACTGTGATATATTAAATTTACATATACCTTTTTTAGGATTTGCTTTGTATTTTCTGTTGCCGTTTCTAGCCAAGCACCCACATTAGATGGCACGGAAATTATATCATCGTCTATTCCAAACTAATAAGGAGTGAAATGTTTTCAGAAATAAATTAGAATTGACAATCAAAAAACATCTGCGTATGAAATACTACCTCTCGTTTTTTCCACATAAAGAGCTTCTCCGGGATTCCATCCGAAGGCCAAGAGGTGGTATGGCTTCTTTCAAGTCTTCCTTCCTCATGTACTGTAAACTTTCCAAAGTCCCATGCGCAGCTGAAATACATATATGTTTGCGTAAATAAATCTGTACATCAAGGCTCTGGACATGCCAAAGGCAGGGATTCTGCAAAAATCATGACATCTAACGTTCTTATAAAACTTTCCACAAACAAAAGTTATGTATACATACATATGTATGTTATATTAGTTACCATATTAGTTATATTTTTAACGCACTACCATGTAAATTACATTTACGATTTACCCAAATTCACTTTCGGCTATTGTCGCAACTGCGATCCATATTTTATGACTATTTTACATTAATAACTTTGCAAATTTTTACATGTACAAAAACTACTTGAATTTTAGTGTGGAAAATTTTCATCTCACTCACCGTTTAAATAAGGAAGCACATCAGGCAAATTAAAATCTGTTAATAATCTTAACAGGCCGTCGTCTTGCGTTTTGTCCTCTGTTTCAACATCACTCAGTATTTCGATTTTACCAATCACAAAACAACCGACTTTACACGCGACAAAAATAATACTAAAAAATTGCTCAACGTAGTATTTTCGGACCGTTATTCGCACACTGCGACGTCGCTCGGTGCCATCAGCAACGTATGTACATATGTACGTATGTACATATGCATAAAAAATCAAAGTCTACTACGGCTGTCCAGCCGGCGTATGAATATCGCTACTTGTAAAGATATACATATTTACATGCAAATAACAACACAAATGTGAGCCTTGCTGACGCTTCGCTCATTACCATCAGCAACGTATGTATGTATAAAAAATTCAAAGGCAACTACGATTGTCTGGCCGGCGTATGAATGTCGCTACACTTGCACAGATATATAAACAACAACAAAGGTGTGAGTACTGCTGGCACGCCGACAGCAGCGTATGCATACCATGCCTTGTAAAGAATAACGGTAGAGCGTCGTTGTATTCAACTTTAAAATTTTTGATTCTTCTTTTAAGAATTTTGAAACCAACAATAAGAATATCTGTTATGTTCTTGATTTGAGTACACATTAGTTTCGTTCTAAGCTTATTTTTTCTTAATATAAGTACATTATTCTGACTTGAAACTTTTTGCATCTTAATTTCACAAAACAAGAACGGAAAATTCTTATTCTAAGAGTATTTAAGACCGTATTTTTCTTAAAATTTTAAGAACGAAAAATAGTAAATTTAATCCCAGTAGGACTTATTTTTAGTACTTCATTTTTCTCTGAGTGTACATAGATGAATTTAAATATAAATTTTTCATCTTATTACTCCGTTTGTATTATGTTTTAGTCAATATCGTATTACAATAATTCACTTCACATTATACAGTCCGACAGTAATTTTGCCACTAGATTCACTTTTCGTTTTATTTTCTTTCAAGATTATATGAGGATACTTTGAAGATTATACACTTTTTTTGGTAAGTTTCCTCTTTATATAGCTTTAGTTTTTCACTTGATAATTAAAAATTCGTTTTTCTATCACTTTTTACGTATCTGCGCGTCGGTTAGAGATGAGTTAGAGAATGATGTTTGATATCAACTTGAGAACTATGAATTTCTCCAAGGTTGGAGAAATATTTTTTTGGTGTTTACTGGGTATGTACATAAATATATACGATTGATCTGCTTTCGTCTTCCCCTCGCCGCTTCCATCGACACAAATTATTAAATGTCTGCGAATCGGCACCAGATTCGCACATTAACCTTGCGTTTACGAAATATTTAGATTTTCGCATAAATTTACATTTAATAAATCAATACTTGTACATTTTTTATGGAGAATAATAATAATTAATTTAAAATTCTGCATGTAACCATGTTTTCGACGATACATGTAACATTCATGAAGATTAAACATAACAAGCGTTGTAAAATAGTGTTATTAACAGCTGGAACCAAACAAACTATGAGTGCAAAATCAACTTTCAAAAACACGCACGAGCCCGCACGTTAAGAATTTTAGTGGGGCCCGGCCCGGCCCGGCACGATGGGACACGTCCCAGCCCGGAAATAAAGAGCCTACTTTTATTGTATGTATACATATGTACTTATTTTTAATTTTGTGTTTATGTATGTATATTTACTTAAGCGAATCAAATTTTCACATCAAAGATTTTTGTAATATATTTTCTGGGAAGTAAAAATAGTGGAAGGTATTTTATGTACAGATATGTAAACAAAACTACTAAGTATCTTATTTTTGCTATCGGTTTCCAAATATTTCTTTTTTTGCTTTTCTCTTATCAAAAGAGGTTTAAATATGTACTATTTTTTTTAATAAAAACAAAAGATGATCTAAATTTGCAGTATTAGCAACGGGCTTTTTCGTGCTCTTATGAAATTTTACTGAACGCCCATGCACGCACGAGTTCGTGCTGACAGCAAATATTGCGGCCCCTACCCGCGGGCTTGCGCAGGGGCCCGCCGGGCCTGTGCCCATCTCTAATCACGACCACTATGAATAACATGGCGACCCGGAAAAGATCAGAGGAGTTAACATCACGTCCACTGAGACTAACATGAAGTTAACATCTCGCCACAAACACACATCGTGATCAGCGTTTCCGCGAGCTTGAAAAAAATGTATTAGCGTATTATTTGCCAAGCAGAAAAAGTATCATAAGCAAACAAAACTGTTGTTTGTTAAACTATTGCTTAAAAAACAAATAATAAATAAAATTTTATAATTAAATCCATAGTTATAAAAAAAAAAATATATTTCTTGCTTCTATCTGCTTATTTGCATAACGAAAAACAAACTTATAGAGCTCCTAAACCACACAAAACTCTTGCGCAACCTGAGACTTTTAAAAGTCAATATTGTGGAAATTACTACAGCGTAAAATTGCGCAAACCTTATTTTGAAGAAACGTTGCTCAAGTTAATATGTGAAGAAATATGAATGTGCGTTGTATATTTTGATAGCTTCAGCTTTAAAACGTAAAAAAAGTAAAAAATAAATAAAAACAACAGCATTTTACAGCTCGATCTGGACACCAAAATCACAACAAGACTAAAAATTTCGCAGTTGTCGCCATACGCAGTACAAATTATTGTACAATAACACAAGCATGAGCAAAATATCAAATTAATTTTTATTTTACCGCAATAACTGTGCAATTTAGTACAAACGACCTCATACACCACACAAGCGACCGACCCATGCCCGATATAGCGTAATGTTTTTGTGTGGTTTAGGCGACGTGTGCAAAGAAATTCCGTGTTGTGTTTTCCTTATAAGAGTTACCAACTCAAACTTATATATAAATATCTATATATAAATTGTGAGACTTTAAATAACAACAAAAAAAATATTTGCCTTTAGACTAGTAATACTATTCATAGTTTTAAAAATTCATTTCTGCCAGTCAAAATTATCAAAATACGGCATTTGGGAACAAAAAAGTATCAGATATTACAATTTAGAAGAAAGGATTAAAAATTATACAATTGTATCAAAACGGCAACGTTGATCGTGATGGAAAACGAAGTTAGTTAACATCTTGTCGTCATAGCGACGATGGAATTAACAGCGTCAGCCGAGTGAAAATACTGCTAAGTAACAGAGGCAGCGCCGCTTGTGGTACCCTTGCTTGCCTCCCCGCTCGTGACTTAATTCAAATTGGTTCTATAGTCGACATGCGTATTCTGTATGCTGTTTATTCTGAGGTTAAACGCAAACTTGCATAGACATTTTTACACGCATACATACATACCAGGGATGAAAAATGGAAATTTCAGATTGTACCTAATATCACAAAATAAATGTACCTAAATGAGACAGATTGTACCTAAAAAAAGTTTCATCATTCATTTGTAGTTTTTTTATATTTATTAAAACATGAATACAAAAGATATATGTACTTTAAACATGATTAGGTTTTTCAACTGAGCCTACATCTATAGACTGTAGTCTAATGGGAATCGGAGAAGCATTGTTTTTGTCTAATTTTGACTACTGAAAAATATTGGAGTATACTTCTTTATCCAGCTTTTTATAAAACAACAGGAAGTCTGCTAATTTATCCGATTCCTTTCAATAGGTGCAGCAAATCTAGAGAATATAATCAATGTGCCTTAAGTAACTTCGAAAGCATTTTAAATATATTTCCAGAAATCAAAAAAGCGAGTATGGGTCAAATAGCTGTAGTTCTCATCTAAAAATATGAAATTTGAAGACATCCTAAACACTGGACTGTATGGATGAATAAAGGCTGGTTTTCACAATGTAATATTTTGACAACAAAATTTGTTGAGTTATTTTGACACAACTTTCTTTCCTTTATCCCTACCTTTATCGATGATATTATGGGCCAAAAACTTACAAGTAGCCGCCTTAGCAGCGCATGTACACGCCTATTCTGATCTAAATCAAACCAAAGATCATTTTTTAGTCCCATTTGACAATGAAGGCCTATTCTGATCTAAATCAAACCAAGGCCAGTTTTTAGTCCCATTTCACTCATTTGACCGCAAATGCCACTGAATTTGACTTAGTGAAAATAAGCGTTAAAATTAATAGAAAAAAATTACGAAGCTAAGTAAAGTGTTAATTTTTCGTAGTGCCTGCTCTAAATGCAATGTAAAATGTTTAAGATAATACATAATATGGTTTTTTTATGTCTTCCTTTTGACCACTTTTCTCTAGAATTGTTTATTATTCAAAATGAAAGCGAAACTTCTCCCGTACCTACAAGTAAATATATTAGCGCGGTAAAGGAAAAAAAACTAATAATGCATCTGATCAAAAGATGATTGTACCTAAAATCTAGTGACTGTACCTAATGTACCTTTAAGTCATGAAACGTCGGAAAAAGGTACAATTGTACCTACTTTTTCATCCCTGATACATACATACATATACACATGTACAGTGCAGTAGCACTAGCTTGGACATCGCATTGGTTGTACTATAATGTAGTGTTGGACAGTGTTGGGCAAATTTTAATTGTAAAGCTGGGATCACACGAAACAAAAACTGTTAAATTCATAGACAAATCATGTGAACGCTAAATTGCATTTGTCATTTATCAGAAAATCCAAATATTTGCCTTCTTGTGGCAAATGAAAAACAACGCTGGTGGCCAAATCGTCTGAACGCAATGCTGCTACGAAAGCCAAAAAAAAATTACGCAAATGACCAGATATCTTATTTGCCACTTGATGACAAATGCCAGTGACAAATATACAAATATTGTTGAGCGGTATTGCCATTTCGTGCTTGTGAACCTTTGTATTTTCTAATTTTGGTAAAATTTTAATATTTAATATAATATTCGTATCTGAAAAATATCACGTTATTTGAAAACAATAATTTTAAAATATTTGCTCAAACTGCACATTTGAAAACATGTACATGTACGTATTCGACAGTAGCTGAGTGTGCAGAGAAGCGTGCGACTATTTGTAAGCTTTCATGAGGTCCCAGGTTCTTATGCCGGCAGACGAACATATTAAAAAGTATTTATAAAAGTATAATTAATTTCTGAGTATAATTAACTATGAAAAAGCATATGTGAAGTTCAGAATGAAAAATTTCAGAAAACCAACCGGAAAAGTATTCGTTTCACAACCCTTCGTGGCACTTTACTATTCACCTTTCTTTCAGTTTTCGGATT